TAACACTTTACTAAGGTGCTTGGACGAGATCAAAATCTGGCTGTCCCACAATTTTTTATCATTAAATGAGGATTAAACAGAGGTCATTGTCTTCAGTTCTTCTGAAAACGTTCAGGCCTCTTGCCTAGATTTGGGCTGCTTATCTGCCTTCAGATCGCCCCGTGTCCGCAATTTGGGTGTCATCTTTGATGAGTCATTAAAACTTGACAAACAGATCAGTTCGGTTATTGGCTCCAGTTTTTATCAACTACGTCTGCTGTCTAAAGTTAAACACTTTTTAAATCCCACCACTCTAGAGATGGCTGTCCACGCTTATATCACATCACGATTAGACTACTGCAATGCACTTTACTGTGGCATGTCAAAATCCCAGGTTTCTCGCCTTCAGCTGGTCCAAAACGCTGCTGCTAGATTTATATGTAATTGCAGAAAGTATGACCACATTACCCCTCTTCTAAGAGGCCTTCATTGGCTGCCTGTGAAATTCAGAATTGATTTTAAAGTGCTTTTACTGGTTTATAAATCCCTCCATAATCTAGCCTCATTTTATCTCGCAGAGCTGCTTCATCCTTACACTCCTGTGAGATCTCTTAGGTTGAGTGAGCAGAATCTTCTGTCAGTTCCACAATCTAGGCTAAAATGTAGAGGGGACAGAGCTTTCTCTGTGCCAGGGCCTCGGTTTTGGAACACCTTGCCCCTTGAGATCAGAATGGCTCCATCATTATCCACTTTTAAATCACGTCTTAAAACATACCTTTTTAGCTTGGCTTTTTAAGATTATTTTAATAGTTCATTCTACCGCAATTTTTTTACATCTTTACAGATGTTTCGCTTGCTTTATTTCTATGTGTTTATATTCTGTCTTTTTATTTTTTATTTTTTATCTTGTGTTATGTACAGCACTTTGTGACTGCTTTTAAATGTGCTTTACAAATAAATGAACTTGATCTTGATGTTCATCAATCTACTCTGATGTATGTGACCAAGGCACTCTTCTGAAATCAATTAGGCAAAATTCTGTAACAACAACAACAACAACAACGAGCAAAACATACAGCAGAGCTGAAGTGGTTTGAAGGAAAGCTCCTAAATTTGCTTATATAAGCAATAGAATTTATGTAATATTAAGGTTTGTTATCGTTATTGTATAAGTTTTAGGGTTTTTAAAAGTTCTTTCAATGTGCATTCGTGTCATATATGGCATTTAATTATAGCATAACAAGCTAGGCTAATTGTTATTCAGAATTCATAGTGTGAAGTCACCTTGTAAAGAACAGCATGTATAGGAAAGATCAGAAAATTGTAGCTATATAAACAATAAACAAAAAAAAAAACATTGCTGCAACGTGTAGTTACATTTTTTGAGAGGTGCAAAAAATCAGCGCTGATGCCACGGCGTAGGGCTATGCATCAACTCATAGGCTGCGCCGTAGCATACAAGTGCGCTTGACGCAGAAGTATAAATCAGCCTTTAGCCAGCCTTTAGGGGATTTGGCTGTGGCTTATCATGTCAACTTTCTTTTAATACATTGTTTTATCATCTGGAAATTGATGATATGAATTGTTAGTTTTACAAGCAAAAAGCAAGCTGTTGTAGCACAGGCAGAATGCATGCAGAATGCACTTGCTCAAATAGTCTGTTACGTCCCTGATGTTAAGTGTCTAGGAGTGAGTGCAACAGTGAAAAGTTTAAAGTTGGTGGGCGTGAGTGTAAATCAGTCCCCATACCTTCATAACAACCCATTAATTTTAGTTAAAGAATTTGTTAACTAAAAAAAAAAAAATTAAATATGATGTTAAACAAAACTGGGAAGCAAAATAAGGCTTCAGGAGGGGGAAAGTCCAAAACAACAAAAAGTACACTAGCTAGTTAGGGAGTTAAACTGTCTAAAATGACAAAGTAAAATTAAATTACCAACAGACATGTAAACTAACTTCTTAACTAAACGTAAACAAGAAAATCATTTTAGAAATAAAATGGCACCCACCCCCCACACAGCTTCTAAACACAAAATGTAAATGGCCACAAGTGGTCACTGTAGGTCCTTAAATCTCACTCACCTAATTCACGTTAATGGCTTTAAAGGGGTTGTCCACTACGATATTATATTTTAAACTTTAGTTGATGTGTAATGTCGCTGTGTAAACATAAACAGCATCTCTGAATGTGAAATGCTCAAAGTTCAATGCAAAGGGAGATCTTGGTTTTTACAGAGTTAGCTTAGCAAAGCAGAGACAGCTACAATGTCGTTCAAATGCTGCTATTTCCACAGAGCTTTGTCTGTTTTTGTATTTGGCCTTCCAAATGACATGACACAAAGACAGAAATGCTTACAGTTCAATATTAATTATGTTCCAGAGAATTATAAAATACATAGTAAGCATGATTTGACAAAACACAGCTTCCAGAATCTCTCCCAGTTCAGTGCTGGATCCGGTTAAAATCTCCTCAAAGACGGAGGAGCTCCAACAAGCAGAAGCTGTAGCCTGTGAGTTTTTTATTTGATAAGATTGATTAGGACATGCACAGTGTCTAGCCTTAACGGTATGTTATAGCAAAGATGTAAACAATGGGAAATGCAGTTTGGCACCGCTAACAATTTAGCTACAAATTGATATTTATCAGTCAAACTGCTGTAAACACACACACACTTTTCACCAGCGCATGCGTATCTCTCTATAGGCAACTTTTCCTGCGTTTTACACCTCAGATAATGAACTCACAAAAGATATGTGAACAATTCATATTACTATGTCACTGTAAATTACAGAAAATAACTTAATCCGAGCAGAGAAAAATAAAAATAAACATCGGTCCTGCGTACATGCGCTTCTTGGGTTACACGTGTCTACAGACAGTTTACACACACGCACGCACACACACATACACACACTCACACAATGGCGATCTCTCTTAAAGGAGCCGCACCCCATTTTCACTCGTTACAGACACTAGTCAGATTTTATTTTAGAGAGCGGGCATAAGGTTGACTGACTGTTTACACAACACAAAAGCATGTGCTTGTACAGCCGTTACATGGAGTCAATCGGCGAATCACAACACATTATGATAGATCACCAATCAGAGCCTCTTGAAGGTAAGTCTTTCAGAGGAACTAGGAAACATGACTGTTAGCTGACTAGCTGTATATAATCAAAGTGAGATTTATGAAAAAACAACGTGATTTCCTTCAAGTGAAACTTGAGCACACATTGCTTTGCATCTTATAAACACAACCAAGCCTTAAAATTACATTCTGGACCACCCTTTTAAGGCAAACCCTGAAACCTGTATAATCCTAATACGCCACACTCAACAAAACACTCATCTCAGAAGCTTGGTGATAAATTCCTGTGACATATGTAAGTTAATGCAAGCTCTCTAAGCACGATGATTTGCATTATAATGTTGTTTGTTTTTTTTGTTGCATTGTCTCATGTTTATCTTCGTGTGTACTGTTTAGCCAGATGACCATTACTAAACTAAGAAGCTATATGTGTTTAAGCTAGCACCCTGGTAAGCGGAGAGATTTGTGTAATTTATGTTTGTGTTTCAAATTATGATGTAAACGTCTAAATGGTTTATTTTTGGAAACTGTTGTGTTTGAAATTGTCAGCTGAATAAATTATTGTTTATGTTGCTTTACGTAGCTCATTTGTTGTGCACTGTGTTTTCATGGTGTTTATGCTGGTTCCAGAATAAAATACATTACACCTGTCAGAGACTCTTTGCTTCATTTACAGGAAATTAAGGGCTGCTACACAAAGATAAGTTTCAAAAGCAGAATTTAAGCAGTTGCTTACAAAAACTTTAACTTCAATAAGTTAACCACAACAGCAACAAACACAACCAAGTAGGAGAGAGACTAAACTCTGACAGCAAGCTTCAATGTGACTTGCAACTGGTCGGCATTCAAAACATGGGAATGTAACAAGCCATATACTTCTCATGAAACAAATCATCCTGATAGGAGTTTATGGCTCTGTGTTCTACCAATACATGCCTCCATATATCAATGGTTCTAGTGCACACATTGTGGTACTTACACCCATGCCATTTGCTCTACTGTTCCCAGATGATGACAGAAGTTTACTTTTACATTTGTCACTCATGAAAGTCTGGATTGTCTTTCTCAACTTTGAGACTAGGATCTCAATGTCTTTTTTTCTATGCTGAAACATGGTCTCCTCTGAGCCCCACTATGTTCTTGATGGTCTGAGATCAGCTCTGACCCTAAGAACAGCAGCATCACTAATGTACAGCTTTTACCATCAACATCAAGTGAAGATCCAGGCACTTCTTGATGCAGCAGCACACTGTGTTCAGTTGTAGTGTTTTTTTTTCTTTCTGAAGATCGTCTGACTTTATTTAACAGTTCAACATCTTCATGCAGTGCCATAAGGCAAGGCACAAGTGTAGAGCTGTAACGAAGGGTCTGACTCAGAGGGATCCATTTGCAGTATATTTATTAAACAGTTTAATAAAGAGCACACAGATGGTACTTGTGTGCGATCTCACATCAAACACAGTTGTATTAAGTCGAAGGGCGATGTGAGATCAATCAGTATAGCACAATCTTAGTGTCTTAGTGTGTGTAACTAGTTGTTTGTTTCTGTGTGGCGTTTGCATGTTCTCCCTGCGTTCGCATGGGTTTCCTCCAGGTGCTCCGGTTTCCCCCAAAGTCCAAAGACATGCGGTACAGATGAATTGGGTAGGTTAAATTGTCCGTAGTGTATGATTGTATGTGTGGATGTTTCCAAGAGATGGCTTGCGGCTGAAAGGGCATCCGCTGCGTAAAAAAAAACTTGCTTGTACCCTGTATATGTGTCATGACTTTTTGAAAATGACCATAGAAAATGGTAATTTCTTAAACTTTTATTTAGATTTTGTAGTGAACTTTATATTTAACCGTATTGAGTCTCAGTGTCTGTGAAAAAAATGAGGTTTATGTTTAGCATAAACAATAATAATTGTTAAAAAAAAAAGGCAGGGGCATCATGGTCGTAAAAAGATATTTATTCACTTAGAAAGCAGTTGTAATGTTACCACTAAAACACACTTTGGGCACAACATTCTTTGCATGCTTCATCACGATAAACTGAAAATGAATTTGCTCTCTCTGAAACTGTTTTAGCATGGTGATTGCAGAGGAAACTCTATAAACTGAGCTCCATGCTTTTCGTCTGCCATATTCATTGTGGCTACATTCTTTGGTCACCGGAACACAAAACATGCTCGTCTTCATCAAACACACAATGGAACATATAGAGTCTTGGCCACCTGCAATGAGTACTCAAGGCAACCGAAGAAAATACAAACGAAACATGAGTAGGTCTTCATATTTGTGCAGCATTTGATATCCTGAGCATCAGTGAATGAGAACACATGAGAAAAATCAATCTTTATAATAATAAAACAAATCCAGGTCAGCAACATTGATTATCCTCTTCATTCATTAGAAACTAAAGAAATAATTAACAAATATTCCTGAGTTCACAATCTCAGCATACAGAACAGGCCAAAAAACAAAACATCAAGCAATATACCAAAAAATTAAACAAAATATTAAAAGAACTGTAAAATTTGCACTTCTTTTGTGAGCTGGCCTATAGGTGAAACAAACAAACAAAAAAAATCCTGAAACGATCACACCAAAATTAAATACATTACACCTAGAATTATAAAATAAACAACACACACACAGGCGCGCACACACACACACACACACACACACACACACACACACACACACACACACACTTAAATGGACAATGTCCTAATCGAATTGTCTATTTAATACATTTCAGCACACCCTGAGGTAGATTTGTATAGATTCAAAACAAGTTAGCATCTCGTTCTAACTTTAAATAAAGATAAAAAAAAAAAAAAAAACATACAACAAAATATTGAAATGATAATGGGATACAAAATAATAGCATGACACCAAATACCATCTTTACAATGATGAAGAAACCTTCACATCCCTGAAAAAGAAAACTTCAAGTTTTCAACAGGCTGCTCAAGGCGAAACCCATCCACCCATCCCTATTAAACTACTCTAACACCTACTTTCATGCAATAATATACTAAAACCTGAAAGGCTCTGGTCAGCAAAACACACTTTGGGAGCAGCGATGTGCTGTAAAACGGAAAAATTAACATTGTTTACATTGTTACTTTGAAAATGCAAACCTTTAAAAATTGATTTCAAATTGCAAGTTTTTTTTTTTTTAAATGATATAACTATAGTCTCTGTTTAAAGGGTTAGCTTGGATTGTGTTATTAATTACTCCCCCGAGACCTTCGTTCATCTTCAGAAAATAAATTAGGATATTTTAGATCAGCGTTTCTCAACCACGTTTTTTGGACGACCACCAACACTGCATGTTTTGGATGTCTCTGATGATCTGAGCTGATGATCAGAATCAGGTGTGTTTGGTTAAAGAGACATGGAAAATGTTTAGGGCTGGGGGTCCTCCAGAAACATAGTTGAGAAACACAGTGTCAGATGAAATCCAGGAGCTCTCTCCACCTTTAAAGACAGCAATGGTCACAAGTTTTAAATGGGAACCAAATAAATATGTCAAAACATTCCATGCGACTTGAGAGGTTCAAGGTCATGGTGCATGTTTACCAAGCGCAATTTGACTCATGGAATGTCAAGTCACATGAAATGTTTTCCGTTTCTTTTCTGGACTTTAAACATCTCAGGCCCATTGCTGTCTATTGAGGATGAGAAAAGTCTCAGACTTCAACTAAAATATCTCAATTTTTGTTCCAAAGATGATAGAAGGCTTCAGGTTATTAAAATGACAAGAGTGAGATATTAACAAAATTATTTGAACTAACCCTTTAAACCAGCACGCATCACTTCCAGAAACAAAACAGTCCTTGCAGAAATGAGCTTCACATATGGAAACATGGTAAAAATCACAACGTTTGGGAACATTTTCATGCGAAACATTTCCAAACATGTCCACAATTTGTTCATATGCATTTTCACATGAAAATGTGCCTAAACCACATTTCACACGTTTTGGTAAAAAGGGATATCTTTGACAACATTTTTGTCCACATTAAATGTTTTGCTGCTGTGTGTATGTACTAACAATCTGTGCTTAACACATGCAGTGCTTTCATTATTTTTTTTAAGACCAATCATTTCACGCTTTTATTCACCATTTGTCATTCGTTTACTTGAATTAAAACCAAACTGCAGGTTTTGCAGCACTGGAATAGAGTATGAAAGAAATATAAAAGTAACCAATTAGTAAAACATCATAAGACAAATTACTTACAGAAAAAGTGTAATTAGTTTACATTTTAGTAACTTAACCAATTCATACACGGTCAAATCTGCTCAAATATCAATTGTTTAGGAGTTTCAAAAATAAAATCATACTTTTTTTTTGTATAATGCAGATCACGGAATACGCTTTTAACATGATAGACATAATTTTGTGATGCAACAAGTATTAAAGAATGCTATGTTGGTTTACTACAGCTATTTCACACTGAGTATCTGAACTGTCAAACATACAAAACGGCAAATAGAATGACAATTACTATTTGACAAAGCTAAATACTTTCCTAAAAATGAAGCTTGTTGGCTTATTTGCTCCATTACCCTTAGATCACCCAATTTAAAATTGTTATCACTCAACCTCATGTTGATTTTAAACATGTAATTGCATATGTGAAACTCATATTTTTTTTCTGCCTTGATAATACAGCAGATTCTGGTCAACTCAAAGCTACAGTTTAAGCATTATTAAACTAAAATAAAGGATTTGTCTGTTTGCATTCAAGAGCAAACCCATTGCAGCATCGCATCAAGTTTGAGGTCAGTTTGTGTGGCTACAAATAAATATCAGCGATTTAAAACAAGTTCACAATAGTTATTTACAATAAAGTAACATCAAATAAAGCAGGATCTCTAGCCTGGCACATCATTTGACTCTCCTTTAACGTTAAAAAGATTATCACTATAAACGTGCTATTGTCTTGGCTTATGCACAATTTGGGAATAGGTTCTCGATTTCCCAAGATTTAAAATTAGAGCAAGCCATTCATTACAATTACGAGTCATTAAATAATTTAAGAAAGCCACAGTGGCTTTCTTATGAACTAACTAGAGACAGTGCAGAGTATTTCCACTGATGATATGAGGCTGAGCTGAGGTATCATATGCACAAACACAACCTTAACATTCACTTGGCCTGTGGTTCAGAACAATCTCAGAGTGTCAGATAACATTAATATAAAAAAATGTAAATGTACTTGTGGATGACAATAATAATTTTGTCATCAGAAAGCAAAATATCACTTGTGTGTAAATGCAAAGGTACATGTGTGTCACCAAACATATTGCAATCCGTAAACATGATGCGTTTTGATTGTTTCAGTACAAATCGAAGACACTTTGCTAAGGCAGAAAATAAAAGTCTTTACTTTTTCACATTTGCTTCACACTTTAGGGCAGATCTCACAAAACATATCTGTATTACACGCATTATAATATCTCCCCAAATAAAGTAAATAGTATTTTAATTATTATTGAATTGTAAGCATTATTAATCAGGCTAAAACAAATTTGCTGTCAGTTTTCACCCCCCAAAAAAAAAAGAAAAAAAAAAGAGAAGAAACTAAATTAGTTTGGAATATTAGTTTTAGTTTTCTTGTTTTTGAGTAAAACACATGTTGGAAAGCAAGTATCATACTAATTTTAAAATTTAATATGCATTTTTTTCTTTAAATAAATTTCTTTAAGTTTTTATTGTTAAAAAACGAAACAAAAGGTTGTGCAACAACACACTCAGCGTTTACACAATATGTTTAACAAGTGAATAATTGTCATAATTCTATACTTGTAAATTAGTACCATATAATTCCTTAAAAAAATTGAAGAAAAATCTTTACAAAAGATTAAAAAGTGGCAAAATAAAACAAAAATCTGCCAACAAAGAAAAAGATTTCTGAATAATAATGAAAACAAGCTTCATTTTAAGTAAAATATTATTTAAATCTTAGACATGTTCATGTGAGATTTGCCCTCTAAACAAACCCAAAGCTGAGCTACCTACATTTTACTAAGACAATGAAGATGGTTATAAATAAAGATGGATAGTATAATGATCTTTTTTTTTTTTGTACAACTTACAATATTAATTTCCTCACTAAAAGTACAAAAGTGAGCTGTTGACATTCATTTCTGCTGTTTGAAAAAGAAAAACCTGAGTTAGTTTCAAAAGCAGCTTTTCCTCTGAAACTTTTTGATTGGTGCTTGTGTTTCCCTGACAACCTTTCCTCTGCTAATCAGTGCTCTCTGGCAGTAAGGGAGTGTGGCTCATGTCCTCCTCTTCTCCTGTTGAGGTTGTCGATTTGCCCTGAGATCCTGGTGACAACTGCTGTGCTTTGATTGGGCAGTTGGCCACCATGTGGGAGATGCTTTGGCAAAAATGGCACTTTTTCGGCTGAGGTGGCAGCTGGCATTCTTTGGCATGATGATTGGGTCCTCCACAGTTGAAGCATCTGTAAATGGAACAAAAAGACAAAGGTGTTATATGCAAGGTGCACCACCAGAGGGCGACAAAATGTTTCAAATTAAGGGGCTCTAACAGTGGATCTTTTTATTTGAAGATTGGAACGATTGTGAGTGACAGTTACAGCCATGTGAAATATTGATGTCGGGCAGACACCTTGTAGCTGAACAAAACTGAACTGCAAATTGTCTAGGGTGTGTATGCTGATTTTATTATGGTAAGATATAAAGTTAAGTCATACTTTACCGTTTTAATGTGGAAAAAAATAACAATGAACAGAGTAATATGCAGTGACTTTCAACATCATCCGGGTAATAGTATTAACAATGTATTCCATTTTAAATGACTCCAAGCCTTGTGAACGTCAACAATAAATTAATTTATATTTTATACACCACTTCAGCTGTCACTTAACAAAAATATATAATTAAATTAATGAAACGTATATATATATATATATATATATATATATATATATATATATATATATATATATATATATATATATATATATATATATATATATATAAGGTATAATGACTTATTTTTAGACTAAATAAACAATCACTATATCTATACTTTTTCGCATAGTTTTATGCAATACTTGATTCTGACTGGTCAATCAAGCTAGAACAAGTTAGAACCATAACCAAGGTATGTTATTCCTAGGAAACAACTGCTGACTAAAACACAGACTCGTATGGGGTCTATGCATCATATTATCCGTTAGTGAGTATATTCATATCCCAATTTATAAATCAAGCTGTTGTTCTTGAATTTTGGTGTCATCTTGCATTTTTCTTTCTGCAAGCTTTATATTTAATTGAAAATTTTGTCAATTATTACAACGTAGGTTTAGTATCTAATTGTTTACAATGTCATCATTGTCACTTTCAGCAGTGAAAATTAAACCACTATGAAATTAACGAAAACCACACTTCAACTCTAAAAACTGGACTGACATGATTTCAATCAACCAGAACTTCTGTGTTGAGCTGCTTTGACACAATCTACATTGTAAAATTTCTATGAAAATAAAGATTTAATTGAATATTTTTTGCAGAAAAACACTGGCTTTGAGAAGATCTTAGTAATAAATACAGACATCATTTTCATAACTGGTTTAACAAAAAAAAAAAAAAAAAAAAACAAAGGTGAGCAGCTTTGCTGTATTCCAAAAGCTCTAATGGTAGATAAATCTAAACAGGAATTTAGCATAAATTGAATTCAAATAATTCCTTTATCAAAAAGAAAAAAATGACAAAGTACATTCGATTAAAAAAAAAAAAGTTTTAAAAAAAAATGTACAGAATGTAAAAATGTCCAATGTACAGAATGTTTTAAACAGAAATACATTTTTTTGCAGTAGTTATTAACTTACATGTGTGGTTGCAGGATCAACTGTTCTACATTTCTACAGAACACCACTTTAAAAATGATTTGAATTATGCTGAGAATAATAATTTAAATTGCACACTGTTACTTTTGCAAGTAGGCAAAAAGTCACACACGGTTGGGTCAAAGGAAACAATATATTCTGTATTCAAAAGTATCCTATTTTTATATTATTAATATAACTATGACCTTGTTAATATGTTAACTGCACATTGTGTCCTTTATCTTTGCAAAAGATAAGGAAAATAAAAATCACTTTGAATTTTACATTTCACTTTCATCAAGTATTTCAAAAGTAACCCAACAATACAAAATTGAATCATTTAGATTTTTTTAATTGGCATTATGCATTCATTTTATAAAACAGTTATATTTGTCCTAAAAGGAACTCCTGCCATTTAAACAGAAACACTCCAAAGTTAGAGGAATATTATTTACTCACTCAAGTGGTTTCAAAACCTGTTTTAATTCTATTGAACAGTAAAAAATATAATTTGAAGAAAGCTGAAAACACCACAGATCCATAATAGGAAAAACAAACATTAAGAAAGTCAAATATTGCAGGTTTCCAGCTTTCTAAAAACATGTTCATGTTTAACAGTAAAGAAAAAAAAAAACTACAGGTTTAAAATGTAAAAAAAACTAATAATAATATGAATTTTTGGGTGAACTATCCCAAAAAAGGATGTAAAATAGCACTATACAAGGAAACAACTTTTATTTAGGAAATTAAATAAGAAAAACACCCCTACAGTGATTTTCTTTCTGCAGTAAACTGCAATCTGGACCCAACTGCAGGACACTGATGAAATAAGGTGATATTTGGAAGCTTCATCAAGGGTTGCACTTCTAATGTGCTGTTGTAGACCATTTCAATGTGGTGATGTCATTGGCTCATGAACATTTCCTGCTTATCAAACCATTTAATAACTGTATCAAAAGGCAATTCAAGCATAACTTTGTTAAAACAGCTATTATAACATTATCAATATGAGACTCTTTTTGGATTCTCATGAGCTATTTAAATAATAAAAAAAAAATTAAAACCTGAACTACGTTGGGACCATTGTTTTTGTTTACATCTCCCAAAATGGTCAATAGCTTAAACAGTAAATGTTGTCAGATCACTGAGGTAATTGCTTGGTTACTTCCATGCCGCAGAAAACCGCAGGCTGCATTTTGCCCTTCATAGCGCAGTTTAATGAAACACCTCAGTCACCAAAAAAAAAAAAGTATATTTCCATTTGGCGTGAGCTATTCATTTAAATGAAAACTTCCTGTGCATAATCAGCCCTGTGCTGTATTAAGTCCCTGCAGCAGCAGAAGTTATTGATCGGCCAGTGGATGGAGGTGGGCAAACTCTTGGGCTCTTTGTTTCAATATGCAGCTTGACCTTTGCACTTTGATCCCTGCTCTCTCCTTCCACCCCCACCCGCTCACATACATCACACGCCATGGCAGATTTCACCTCTGACCTTTCTCAGGCACCTACATCTGTTATTAATTAAATGGACAGGATCTGATTCTCCATCAGGACGCTTTGACACACACACAGAGAGAGGTGGAATAACAAACACAAACATTAGGAGAAAGTATGTTTTGGTAATAGTCAAGACAAGTCATTTTATTGCTGTAGTGCTTTATACAATGCAAACTGTGTGAGAGCAGCTTTACAAAGAAAATGCCAATTAATCGGGTATGATTCAGGTTAAAAAAATATATATATTTTCATAACACGCATTCCATTTTACAGAATACCTTTAAATTCCAATTAGTTTATTAATGGTTCCATTTAATGTGATACAAGGTAGGGCAGCTCTACTGACCAGAACTAAAAAAAATGCAGGCTTAAACAATATATTTCTGTTGGGACAACATACAGGTATTAAGTTAACTTAATCAGTTTTTTTACAAATTTAAGCAGATTGAACATAAAACAATTAGGTTGTCTGAAAAAAACCTTAATAATAGAGTCGTTTCAACTCATTTAAATCAGTAGTTTGAACATGCAGCAAATAGCATTATTGGTAAGTTTACTGTACATGGGCATCAGTAATCTAATTTATTCTGAATCAGACAGTATTACAATTAAGGAATTTACATGAATTGCTTTCATGTTTCTATTTTACATTGTAGCACATAGATTGATAATGGCACATGTCATGTGTCCACTTAATGCTGCCTGATGTTCCACAATTACTCTTGGCGAATTTCAGTGCTTCCTCTTTATGGTATCATATATAATTTTGGTGGTTCCATTTTTTTTTTTAATCTAAAAATTAAGCTTCAAGTGCAGTTATTTATTTGTTGTTGTATACATGCCATGAATTAATGACAAACTTTGTTTTTTGGAATTTTGTCTTTCAAACTGTTGAGCACTGTGTATTAAATGTGGTAAAAAAAGTCCTACACAATGGTAATAGCACGATTAAAACTGGACACACATCACAACATAATCTGGTTGATTTTAGTCAACAATTCCCCTCCAACAATCCTAGTTCCTGATTATCGTGGTGACTGAAAATATCTTACCAGATTTTTGATGCTGTGCCGTTCATTAGAGGAGCATGACTCCTTTTTCACTCGCTTTTTTTTTTATTAGCTAATTAAATTAGCTGAAGCTAATCCGTTTTTTAAATCCATTCAGCTTACCTCAGCAGGACTACGTTTAGCTTAGTTTAGCATAAGTCATTGAATCAGAATAGACCATTAGCATCTCCAGCAGGCGCAATATTATTATGCAGCACCTGAAAATAGTCCCATTGTAGGTAACAGTGCTGTGTAATATCATTGTGCCTGCTGTAGCCATAGTACGGCAACACGTTCATTGATTATTAGGTCAGAATAAGAGCAATTTTCCAAGCCATATCGACCTATAAATTTGCAACTTTTTTTATCACACATCAATCTTAGTACACAATGCTACAAATGCTTAGTACGCAATGCAAAGTTTTTTTTTTTTTGGTCACTTTTAATTTGATGGTCCGTTTGTTGAATTTAAGTCACATTGCATCTACAAGCCAACTAATTCTCATTAGATTATAAATAGACTGTTAGGATGGGGTTTGGGTTAGGGTTAGTGTAAGTTGACATGTACTTGCAAAGTTTCTTATAGTCAGTTAAATGTCTGTTGAAGGAGCGGTATCAACAGATTTGAAGCAGACAGTCAACTAATACTCAAATAGACAATCAAAATAAAGCATTACCTTTTTGTTTGCTTTAGCAAGATCCTAATAATCTAATCCAAATCAATGATTTACACTAAACTGAGCTAAAAGTACTCCCACTAGACCCTAGAGATTGGCTGAATGGGTTTATAATGGGGTGTTCACGTGAAACAGGACGATATCCAGTCAGAAAGCAAGCAGACAGAAGATGAAAGCATATAACAAACAGTCATGTTGCAGCATAAAGTAAAATGAGTTTTGACAGCAGAGATGGAAAATCAGATTGTCAATTTGCATAAACTGAATGAATGTTTACTTGGTTATTAATCTCAAGAGAATTTGTGAAGATTTCCTGTGTTCACATTTGAGACACCGGTTGCAGATTTGTTGTTATGTTCTGCTGTCTATCAAAGCAGCACACCACAAA